CGTTTATTTTGCATTTTGAATAATTTGTTTTGAAATTCCCTACAATACTACTACAGATTTTACTATGTTAATATTATTTTTTATCATGTAATATTTGTGTGCGATATGAAATCTTGACGTACCAATCCAAATAAGTAATAACTTTTCCCATAATTTTATCGAATTTGTCTTTCTTCTGGTAAAACGGCACTAAACGATTTACCCGTATTACATGCTAGAGCATATTTCAATAGCATCATAAATGTTTTAATTATTTATGTACGTTATTATAGTACAGGGTTAATCTACATGATTTAAGAGATCAAATATTCATTATTCATTAGCCAAAAAAGACTGTACCTAATCTAAGTCTAGTGGTGTTAATTTTTATTATTCAGGAATTTCATTGTATATATAATTATACTGCAAATGCTTCTTCTACACTTTAATTTAGAAATTCAAACTTCAATTTATCTTATATTTCGAAAAGTAGAGATCATCGATGTATGCACCGAACGGCCCATATATTCTAATATTTAAGTGACCATACTTTTTTTTAAGTCAAAACCGTGGTGGCAATTTTTAGTTATGCAAATGCGGGACGAGGGTGGGTATTTTTAAAATAACTAATGCTACATAAGGATACAATTAGAAAACAGTTTTTTTATGTGAATCCATTTTTTTAATCAGAATTGTAGATTTTTAACAAGACCTTTATTATTCGACTATATGTAATACTTTTTTTTATCTATGATATGGTATTATATCTTATATTTTTCGATCTTTATAATTTTTCGCTTTTGAGCCTTTCAAAAAAAATAGCCCATGTTCGTGTATTTTCATAATTTTTTTTATCTAATTTAAATGCAGACTGTCCCGGCCAAATCGGAATGTCACCTTACTAATATTTCTTATTATCTAAGATATAATATTATCTTCTTATTTGTAGCAACTTATTCACATTAAATTGAAATGTTTGTAAAGAAAATCACCAAAAAAAAAACAAATATTATTGCAAGTTTTATAAAGAAAGTTTAGTTTTCAATTTTCTAAAGCTACAAACTTACACAAAATATTTTAATATCAATTTTTGTGATATTTTTCATTACACTTATATTATTTTTAATGTCGTTTTGTCCTTAAATATATTGCTTGTGGTTTCTGTGATATTTCTACCACATAACATTTATTAGATTTAAATTAATAAATATGTTTAATGTATAAAAGTTCAAATAATTCTTTCGTTATCTCCATTTGAAGATATTTGAGTTGATTTTGTTATCTCCATTTGAAGATATTTGAGAAAATCGGATCCAAAATCGCAATATATGTGAACTAAGTACAGAAAATGAAGTATCGCCACACCTTTCACAATATTTAGACAAAATCGACCAATTGTAAAGAACCAAAGAAATAATGATAAGAGAATCTTATCGATATTCTTCAAATACTGCATTGAAAATATCACGAGCTACCAATGAAAAATCATTTAGAGATCTAATATAGTACCAGATAAGAATTGAGACATCTACACCGCAAGAGCAATATTAGGCCTAAATGGGGGTAGAATAAACATTATAAAGTTGGTTAAGGATTTTACTGGAATTACTAATTTTTAATGCAAATAAAACGAGAAATAATTTTCTTCAGACATATCGAAGGAGTACACTATGTTAGTCGTGGTGAATAATTAGGGACTAAGGTTCAAATTTCCCTACTGTTCAACCAACCTAACATTCCATATTTGCAGTATAAAAAATCTATTATAACAATACCAATAAACATTGACAAATAATGTGTAAGGAAGAAGTAATAATTGAAATAAATTATACTGAAAAATAAATATCTCGAAAATCAAACAAATAAACGAAGAGTTATTTTTTTAATTGCAAAGATATTTTAAATATTCTAAATTCTATCTCAATTTTGATCATAACTTTGAAGGCGAATACGATGCAAATGACGCTGTGATAGAGACATGTTTCATATAAATGTTATATGTAACTCAATCCCAACAATTTCAACACAACATATTCAAATACATATGAGCACATTAATTAATTACTAACCGCATTGTTATTTTAAAAATATATGCACCAGCTTAAAATAGTTTTGATGTTTATAAGAAGGCAAATATTTGCATGACTTTTTGGCGTTTACTTAAGTTTACGTCTATTTTATTCCAAACAAAAAATGATATGCTTATAATCTATCTGTTCGGCGTTTAAAAAAAACGCGAAAATTTTTCATAAAATTTATGAACAATAGAAAAAACAATACCTGGATTATAATTTGCCACTGTATTATCATTAAAATTACTTTGTACTAATTTGGAACTATGCTTATTGTGAACAATGTTTAAAGGATTTAAGATACAAGCACAAACTAACAAAAAATATCGAATTTTATATTAAAAGGGAGTATTCTAGTGTAGAAAAAAAAAAAATAGTTTTTTTCTTTTCTTTTATATTTTCAAAGTTTAACTATTTAAGAATATGTGTACGAGAGGATTTTTAAATTTTAAATTATTTTCGGAGCTGTTTGATCATGATAACCCTCTTTTGTTTTCTTCCTTTTGTGAAACTTTAAACGCGTTTATCTCAAAACCTTTTTGAATACGATGCCCACGATTTTTTGAGTTCTCCTGGTCCGACTTACTTGAAATTTTCAGAGAATTTTTTTTATAGACTCATTTCTGGTATATGCAATACTTATTCCCAAATTTCATTGTTTACTATTTTTAAAAATTCGATAAACTCAAAAAATGGTCTTTTTTCAGTCGCTGTTTTTTTTAAAAAAAAAAATAATTTGTAGAAATCTTTGGAGACGCCCAACTTAAAGAACTGCTAATTCTTAAAATTATTAACTTTTTTTAAACTTTTTTTCTGTACTCGTAAAACATTGATAAACAAATTATAAAAAATATAATAGTGAAAAAATGGATTGTCTTTTTAAATTTAATGATGTCTAAAATTCAATTCTCTACACTAGAATACCCCCTTAATCAATACAACAGCACACACTACAAATAATGCTAATTACAAGAGATAATACAAATTATATTTCTTTTTGACAAACAAAATTGTATTAATCCTAAAATACAGTCAAAAGCAAGAAAAAAAAACTACAATCAACAATTTAAGGGCATATAAATATGAGCAATATCAATTAAAAACAAATAAAATCAGTCAAATAAGTTATGTCAGACCGCCAATGAATACAGAAAATACAATGTATTATTTCAAGTGGCGGCGTTTCCTTTTAAATACATGTTACCAAAGTCATTTAAAAGGATACGTGACACTCAAACTTTGAGAGCGCCGCATTGAATGAACGCAACATGTGCATGACCTTTTTATTCAGGTAGACCCAATTACTACGAAGGCCGTGCCGGGCATAGCAAAAACAAAAATTCACTATATTGACATCTGTTCACGGGTCCATGTGTGATTTATAAACACTTCATTCATGCATAGACCTCATTCACCCTTTGATCGATCCGCGTGCGATTTAAATACCATTCAGTGATTCATCTTGTAAACAAAGATGTTTTGGTATTTAAACGCATTAAAAATACATTGTGGGGCTGTTTAATAGAACGCCGACTACGGTCGTTTTGACAGGTTAGGCATAAAAAGGCTCACAGAACAAGTGTATTGTGAACAAATACGCAATGCGCGCAAGGAATGTTTTCTTGCTCAGAGGTCACACGACACACCATGTAGCTAGCTGATATTCTCGGAGATACCGGTCTCACGGACTGACGTCATTATGAACGCGCATGCAAACATATTTCATGTTTCAGTTTCCGAACACCAAAAATACAGTGTTTCAATACAATTATCCCTTACCTTCATCCAAAAGCCGTTCCACGTGAATAAAAACATTGGGAAAAGCTGCCAATTGCTTTCTATCCTTCAACAATTGTGCTAAATAATCAGCGATACTTTGTGTCGTTGGGTTATTAGGATCACACATAATTAATGTTTGTTACACAAGTTATTGTTTAAATGGAAACGTTTTCACTGTTTTATTTCCGGTGGATTCGAAACAATGCTATTAACTTGTATCCAATTTGAACATACATATAATAGTCAGAACAGGTCTAGCATTCAACTCAAAACTAATACCACAATCACCAAACTCAAACTGCCCGCTCTGCAGCCAGTTCAAGTTATACACTCTCCGCATGAGGGATTGCGGGCGTGCTCGGCAGCAGTCGGCGGCCCTCGGTTCCAAACACTCGGGCCTTGCTAGCGCCAGAGATTCTCAAACACTGGGACGGTTTTGAGTGGGTGGACGCCATTCGTCGCAATTGCTCGTCCGTCTATCTATCGCTGCCCATTCCCGACATTATTAGGTGACTCACATTGCTTGATTAATCAAACCACATGAACATTGAAACTCACGTAAAAAAATATTTACACTCACATTTTCACGAATGCAGGAAAAATGAAAATTGGATGCTTCAAACATTATAATTTCAGATACAAATTATAGCACTTAAGAAGTAGGGAAGATTGAGTATGCTTGTGCCACTTTTTTCTCTCCAGATAGCTGAGAAAAAGAAAATTAAATGGTAATTTGAACATTTGTCTACGAGGAAATACGGAAAATCAATTTATACAAGAAAAGGCGAGTGTCACCACCGTCCACACCATTTGAACAAAGCTTATGAATATAATATAACAATATATACTAAAAAATGTTTGTTTAAACAAGAATTATTTGTGAACACTTTTATTTTCTTGTATTGCATTTTTTCCCCTTTCTCTTTCGTATCCTGTATTAGTTGAGTTAGCTTTTTCTTTATAGGTTTAAATTTCACCTATAAAGCACAAGAAATACATATCACAACATATACATATCACATGTAATTGCTGGTAATTAACTACTAATGTTCAACTTACAGGAAAAAACCAAAGTGGCTTATCAGTATACGAGTGACAGTTGTTATTAACAGAGACTAAGAAACTTACTTTTGGCTGTTTAAAAGCAATTCGGTGTTCAGATCTTGATAATGTGGGGCGCTGACTTAATGCAATAGTGGAAACTTGTTTGAACAAACATACTTTAACTATCTCTCTTTGGACCCGATCCCAAAATCAGTATAGTTTATCTGTTATGACTACTGTCACTATCGTAAACTGGCACAACTGTACCCAGTCTCTCCTAAAATATTGCGAATAATATAAAAAAAATATTAATTATTGTTAGATAGAAATATCAAATAAATAATTATTATTTCAGATCAGTTCAGTCTAATAATTTTATTTTGGAAGCAGAATATGATATGACAGGCCAAAAAGTTTAGTGCTAATTGAATGTGCTAATGTAGCCACAATTCATTTTTTCTTTCATATCTTTGTAAAAATAGTCAGCCAACGTCGAATTCAAGATTTATGAAAACGTGTTTAAGCAATGACTCGTTTTATTTAAATTTGAGTCATTTGTTGCATCTGGATAATGTTTACTGTATTGTTTTAGAGTAACATCAAGGAATGAATTAAAACTAGACGAGGTAGTAGTATAAAGGCTAGTCTAAAGGCACACAGACAATGCCATTTTGACATGCATGATCATTATATCAGAATAGAATACAATGTAACAATATTACACTGGAATACCTACGTGAAACAAAATACAATGGTAGTGACGCGTTCACCAGCGAAGCACAAGGATATATTAACAATAATCTCGGCTATTAAATATGCTTACTAGCAATATAAAAATTTCATTATTATTTTACCAGATCGAAGAAATATAGATGCCGTAACTGGTATTTCTATTTTTGTATATTTTTACTATAAATATAATACTTTATATAAATTTATAAAACCTACATTTACTTGCTCAATCTAGTTTTTCAGAAGGATTTTATGTACATGAATATTTTTAGCATAAGTTACTTTTAACGTAGAAACACCAGTTGAGCTACGCTGGTAATATTTGTTCAGATCATTTAGACGAATCCGAAAGGGATTGCAAACTATGTATTCAAATGTCGACAATTACATTGTTTTCGTTACTATACTATTTCATTAGGCCTGTTTGTCACATTCTCTGCATATACTGTATATTTGTATGTTTTCTTGAACTAAGAATTGAAGTGCTGTATTCAGGATCAAAAAGTATAAACATTATGGTGCTTACATAAATATAAGTTTAATTAAGCATATTTTTTGATAGTTTTTTTAACAGCAATCGGAATCCAATAGTTCTATAAGCTGTTGTGCTAATTTTTGACTTAATGTTAGTCTGTTTGACAGATGGCAACCTAATCAGTCGTCATATCTCTAGCAACCCAATCAGTCGTACGATACATTAGTATTACGATTTCTGTAATAGGGCGAATATTTTTATTGGTGCAGCAATGCTGGGTGAGGGCTATTTTTCACTTACATTAGAAAAATATAGCTATATATATTTCCAAGTGAAAATCTTGTCACTGTTGCTTGACGACAGGTTGCTCGAAGTGGGTATCGAACCCGGGACCTCTGAATCAGGCTCCGTCGCTCTTAACCGCTTACCTACGGGCGAGCCATTAATTAAGCATATATGATTGATTCATTTCACTGCTTTTACAAAACCTCATTGTTTACATATTTATACCATTAATGTTCTTTATTTCTGTTCTTAATTTTCAATTACTTTTAATTTTGAAAAACTCCAGATGCAATATATACTGGAACGCAACAGTTAAAGTTTCGAACTGGTGGCGACGTTTGGGAAGGAAGTCTCTAAGCTATATTTATATAAATATTTAATTCATTATTGGAATAATTGGAATAAATTTTTCAAATAATTTTACGTCACTGATATCACAGGATTTAGCATCTGTATTTTATTATTATTAAGATCGAAACAAATTTGTTATATTTCTTCATTTCAAAATATTCAGTATTATACAGTAAAAATTAATTTAAAAGTTTTTTTTTGAGTAAATTGAATATCCTATTAAAAAGTTTGTCCCATTCATAGAACCATATAAAATTTGGTTCTGTTTGTAATGCTTTACGAAGATCATTTAAAATTTGCAATTAATTATCGGAACTTTCTTCATTTCTAATGCTTTCGAAATATCAAAAATTTCCTAATTGATTCAGCACATACTCTGATATTTCAAGAAGATTTGGCATCATTTTGCTAATAAAATCTACATTGTTCAAGATTTTGTACTATATTATTAATCATAAAATAAATTAATCTAATCTAATCTAAATAATTAGATCTAATTTTCCTTGTCAAACATTTAGTTTCATGCGGAACTGTTGACGTTTATACTTTCCTCTGTCATTTCTATAAAGCTGTCACAAACAGCACCTAATTCTTCCTTAATTAATAGTTCCTTAATTCGGCCGTCTTTTAACTCATCTGGTCTTTAATTCGGCTGCCTTTCACCTCATCTGGTTTTTAATTCGGCTGCTTTTTAACTCATCTGGTCTTTAATTCGGCCGCCTTTTAACTCATCTGGTTCTTTAATTCGGACGCCCTTTAATTCTGCCACTTTTGCGGGGCCAACTTTTGATTCAGCTGCCTGCGTGCAGGGCACAGAATAAACGTCGCCAGTACACGCTCAACAAGTGCGTACTTTGTATAACTGATGAGATAGACAATTCGATTACGTATAGGATAAGGGAGGTTTTGGGGAAAAAACAGCTTTCTGTTTTAAAATGTTTTCTATTTTGAAATGAATAATTAACTAAATCTACACTGAAATTATTGAGTATACTATATATATAGTGATATAGTTATTTATATACATATATACAGTACAGTGCTAGGGCCATAAGCGCCCGCATACCATTTTTTCCTTAGCGCCCCCTTTATTTTTTAACTGTTTTTACAGTTTGACATTGAAATTATATGGAAATGTACGTCAATTTTTTTTATTACTATTTATTAAGTAGTCTATAGATTATATATTTAAAAAAAATATATATAATTTATCTATAATGCATATATAAATGAAAGAAGTATGTAAAGCATTAAATAATAGTTCAATATATAAAAAGAATATGAAAAAATAATTAAGGAGTATGTAAAAATTAACATATTGTAGAACATTGAATAGAGAAGCATACAAAATCAATTGCAAAGGCAAAAAACGTAAATTAAAAAAAATCTGGGTTTAAATTATAATTAGTGGTATAATTTAATTGAATGCATACATTTTATAACATTTAAGTTGCGGACGACGTTTGGTGCTTCTTTTATCGTAGCCAGATTTATAATTTTCTATTTTACTATATTAATTGCTATATTAATTAATAATATACTAAACCGCATTAAATTTTCATTCTTTTATGTTGCTATTTTTCTTATTTTCTCGTTTAAACGTCCAGTTATATCCGATTTTGTTTTTCCAGCAACATTGTGATAATGACTAATAATGATCATTAGGGGAAGTAGGGGCAAAATGATACGGTACTTTGTTTTTTTTTTGATGATATTTATTTAATTAATGATATTATAACCTCGATCGTTTGACTCACTCGTTTTTACTCATCGTTGTTTCATTGGTTACCAGTAAGATAGTATTTTAATTAAGTAGGAATTATAATAGCATATTTATATATTTATTATTATATTACATATATTTATTAAGGAAAATCAAGGAAAAAATGCAACCTATTACAAAAACCATTTTGTCCATATAGTACGAAGAAAATGACGTATACGGTAATTACATACTGAGATGCAAATTTTTAAGAAAGCAGTTCACAAATATGTAAATCGTTCTTTTTTGGACATTAGCACGTGAAGCATCAACCCAAAGGGTACAAGTCACATATCTTAAAACCAACCTTCGCCGGGTTCAAAACGGAAAAGGAGCGTTTTGCAACAAATGCAAGTCTCTTCTTTGTACCGGTGAATTTCTTGGTATGTTTTTAGCACTGATTTCTTGCAATTTTTGTAGCTCTGTAATACTTTCGTAATAGTACTGTCATTTTGTCTATTTCATAAGTATGTAGTTTTATTCGAAATTGAACAAAAATGAATAATTAAACAAAATTCTACCTAACTCTTGATTATTGCAATAAAATTATCTAAATCACTAGTTCTGGCATAAGTTAATTCATTTTAATTGAAATAATTACGTATATCAATAAATATTTTCCCAAAACATGAGACAAACACCCCCAAAATAAACTTTTCAAGGCGCGA